TCATTCATTCATTCATTCATTCATTCATTTATTTATTTATTTATTTATTTATTTATTTATTTATTTATTTATTTATGTATTTATGTATTTATGTATTTATGTATTTATTTCCCGCCTATCTGGTTTTGCGACCACTTTAGGCGAGATATAAATAGACCACTCTTTTTGGACTACAACTCCCTGAATCATCCGCCAATAGTGTCCATGCTGGCTCAAGGATTCCAGAAGTCGTGGTCCACAAACTTCTTAAAGCTGTCTTTTTACTGGCTAGTTGAAATACTTTTGCTGCACAATACAATCAGACTCTTACCAAGCAATAATATCATAAAATCACAAAAAAGCATGATTGCAGTGAGATCCGCAAAGGCCATCTCAAGTCCTTCTATGGCTTTTCATGGTGATTTTGATTTAAAGACTTCGAACGTTTTATGCTGAACTCTCTTTTCCAAGGAGGAATACTTAGAAACTGTGTTCAGCAGTAACAAAATTATATCATCATTTTAGAGCTCTATTTGCATTGAGTTTAATTTAAAGCTGTTAAGATTTGGTAGCACCATTACTACAAATGTCTTTTTCAGATTGTAAAGTTGTCAATATCTCTTATGCCCGCACCATCCTAGAGATCCTATTTCTAACCAAGGTTTCTTCTTTTGAAGGATCTCTTGCAATTCCTAAAGCTGGGGATGTGGTAGTTCTCTACCTTTCCCCTCTTCTAATTTTAAACTTTGTGTTTGAGCAAAATATATGGTCCCCTCAACCCCAGCACTTTCATCCCTCCCCCTCTTTACTTCCGTGTATAGATGACCCTAAATTTTTTTAATCTAAATATTTTAGAGAAAAGTGTCATACATGAAAAAATACAGCATTTTTTTTTCAACTTGGCAAGCAGAAAATAACTAAATAAGCAGAAATTAGAAACCACCACTGTTAAACAGACAGGAAGATTATATTTGAGCTTAGAAATTGTGTATAAACTTTGAAATTACTTTCCAGAAATGAGGGGAAAAAGGATTTTGAGAGAAATTAGTAACAATGCTTTAAGAAAGGGAGGGAGAGGAAAACAAGATCTAGTTGGTATTATCTACCACTAAATGCCCTGTGCTCCAACCCACTAAGCTGCAGTGGACAGCAGCTGTTGCTGCAGATCACAGAAGAACTAACAGGAAATTTGGAATGTTTAGCTAATGCTATCAAACAACGTTCTTTTAAATATACAAGCAGCCATGGAATGGAGGTGAGACCCTCTAAGGGGTAGTGATGAATATGGGGGATTGGTTTGGATGCAACAGAATGATTGTGTTGAAAGCTACCACGTCCAACGTCAAGAGCTGTGATGAGATCCAGTCTCCAGGAAGAGATGAACTTTCCTCGCTAGAAAGCGCTTCCCCCTCCACTACAGACCTTGCAGCTTAATTATTTTGACTTACACACACAAAGCCTAAATTTTTGCACCACCTAGGCTCACAAACACTTCTTGAGAACCCAAAGCAGGAATCGCTTTGATGAACTGCTTTGATGATTCCTGCTTTCCACCTCCACTTTCTTCTGAAGAAAGTGGAGGTGATTCCTGCTTTCCCCCTCCTTTCTTCTGAAGAAAGTGGAGGGGGAAAGCAGGAATCAAAGCACTACTAAGATGTTAAAAGCAACTTATCTGGCATTTGTTCTCATGCTGAAGATGTTAGTACCACTTTTATTAACATCCTAGTTTGTTTCACTAACAACTATATTGACAGATGTTTTACCTGTGTGATGCATACTGCACTTGTTTCCCATCCTACCCTTTCTCCCATGTATACTCCATCTGTTTGTGTCACTTTCAATTCAATTATCTAAATAAATAAAAGGAAGATTAAAATAGAATGCATAGAGAATCTGAAGTAGCAACAGAGTCCTGGGGTGGAGGGAAGAACGGCAGTTCAGGGAGAAAGAAGGACAATGCTGCTGTTCATTAGCAAGAGCTCTTGCTCCTTTCATATATTTCATGTTGATTTAATTTCCCCTGCTTCAGATTTTTTAAAAGGAAGAATTATTAGCATAGGGTGAATGTTTCTATTTTAAACATGCTCTCCCTCATACTGAATGAGTAAAATGACTCATGCTGTTCTCAAAGATAATTTTACTAATGTGTTCTTCTGCAGACGAAGCAACACAACCTATAATGCTGATGTACAGTCAAAGCATCCTCTAAAGCAGTGGTCCCCAACCTTGGGCCTCCAGATGTTCTTGGACTTCAACTCCCAGAAATCCTGGCGTGGTGGTGAAGGCTTCTGGGAGTTGTAGTCCAAGAACATCTGTAGGCCCAAGGTTGGGGACCACTGCTCTAAAGGGTGTGTGGTAGGGACCCCCATGAGATAATAGCAGAACTATAAACTGTTACTGTGTTTGCTTCTCTTATTTCATCTTAAATAATAGCCATAATTCTAATCAATGATCTGTATACCCCCATACAGTGATGATACATAAAGAGCAGAAAGCGAAGTTCATGTTCACCAT